CCTCGAGGCTCCAATTTAAGCTAATTTTGTTATTTCCTTTATTTTATTCGGATTTCATATATTGTTCTAGATTTTATGATTATTTTCTTTATATTTTTATTTTATTTTTTAGTTAAGAAAGAGTTTCTAACTTATTTAAGGTTTTGTAAACCTTATCAAGAGGTTGACTTTATCAATATTATTTTTAGAGAGAATAAAACAAGAAATTTAGGGCTAACATTTATAGCCCATTTCACTTATTAAATTTTTGTGTTCTGTGTTTGTTTTTTGTCTTTAACTTTTGCCTACATCAATTGGTATAAAAAACTAATGATCCAGGGTTTAATGCATGTTGTGTGCAGCAAATCTATGGAAGAGAATTTGTTTACTTGTTGTGTGCTGCTAACAAACCATAATGGGAAAAGGTTGAGAAGTAAGGTATGGCTAAGAAGTGAATGAGGAGTCTTTCTTTAATTAAGGAATGTCTAATAGCTTGTCATCGAATACAAGCAAAGGCAAATCATAAAATCAACCTATTGGCTAGAGGAAAGGGACCCATGGGATCATGGGAGTGTGATCAAGATCAAGAGAGTGATCATGGTTCCTTGCCAATACTGACAATTATAGGTGAATTTAGGGGAGACAACTTCTTGGATGAGAAGAGAACAAATCTCGGGTTTTTAGCTTTCATATCAAAATCCCTAAGTTTTTAGGAATATCTAGATGTAGTATGGGGTATATGTATTTTACTATGATCGAGATGATGGGGTGGCTATCTACACACAAATGTCATAACCCATCTATTTCTACAAACTCTTTAGTTTCATAAGGACTAAAAGGACTAGCACAATACAATAACTCATATTTTCTGATATATCTTTTCTCCACCATCTATTTCTACAAACTCTTTAGTTTTTTTAGGGCAAAATATATAAGCTACTTGTTTAGTAGTCTAGAACTTAACATCAAGTCAATCTGGTGTTATATTTATCTTATAGAAGGTAAGCTTTGGGGAAACTCATTCAACATCGAACCTTAAAATTTTGCAAGCACACCTCTTACCTCATAAGATTATCATCTATTTTTTTCCCTTCACTAGTTGGCATTAACACATACTAGTTGGTCTTTAGGGTGACTTTTAATGCTAGTTGGAGTTTCTTTATTACCTTTATGAATACTATATTCTTGCAGCTCCCACTATATGTGATCAAACAACAAATTTTGTCTTTGATGATGTAGATAAAGTGGAAAATAATACTACACATTATATTCTCATTTGAGTCCCCCTTGGGCGTTAACAAACGTTTCTTGATCAGAACGGTTGTACTGTTATGTCCAAACAGAACATCCCTATCATTGTCAAAATCATCTTTGTTGTTAGCAAAATTCATAGGCCTCTTCTTTATTAGTAGATTATTTCTTAGACAACTTTGTAGTTTGTTATGCTTGCTAATTTGGTGTTTTAACTCACTACATCTGAAATAGAAAAAAATAAAGTCACCTTGACTTGTTACTTGTTGATTTGATTGGTTTGACCTAATCTATGGTCTGTCTTAGGTCAATAATACATCTTCTATTATTCTATTATACCTAAAAGTTTATGTTTTCATCCTTAGCAGCTTACTGCTTCTCCACCATTAAATCCCACTAATATGCATTTGAAATCATCTATAAGACACAATACATCCTAGATAGATTTATGTATGCCACTAAAGTACCTTGCCATTAGCTACTCTTTTGCTTTTGTTAGATCATTCCTGAAAACTAGCTAATAAAACTCATTAATGTATTCATTGACATATTTACCTTTTTATTTCAGCGTGTAGAATCTTTGGTATAGATTTTAAAAGTAATTAAAAGAAAAGAAGTGTGCTCTCATCTTTTTCTTCATCTTGTCTTAATCATTTATTCTAGTTTTCCCTCATCTCTTTTGTGTTTTCTTTAATTGCTCCCACCAAGCAAATGCCTTACCCTTTAATATGATCGCAATCAATTCTCGAATATGGCCCCTCAAGACCATGGATGGATCTTGGGTAGCCCAACTTTACTTCAATAAAGTGGTTTGTTTGCATGACATTTCTAGGTCCTTCAATTTGAATAAAGATGTAACGTTCATGAGTAATTTTTAAAAGAACTTATGAGGAAGGATAGGTAGTTAGTAGAACTTTAGTAGTGTTTATCATTCTTAAACAAATAGTTAAACAAAGGTGACTAATCATAATCTTGATAACTTACTATAAAAGCTTAATCGAAGATAAGTTGACATAGTAGGATATGACATTGCATCATGTGTAGTTCACTTATAACAGGTCTTAGAATTGGACCACCCAACTGATTTATTTTGAGGTAGTCTATAGATAAGATCTTTCTGGATTATTGGAGATAATTTTTATTCCTCTTATCTGACAACTAAATTTATAAGTCACAAATATGATAGATTACTTGCATGACATACACGAGGAGGTCAAACAAACAATTAATGACAACAATACCAAGTATAATGACCTAGTTGTTACTCATAAAAAAGAGTGGTGTTTGAGGTTGGTGATGTGGTATGAGAAGTCTTTACACGTGACAAGTTTCTAATAGGTGAGGACAAAAAGTTGAAAGAAAGGAAGATAGGCCCATATGAGGTATTGTAGAAGATAAATGATAATGCTTATAGGATTTGTCCTCCTAATCACTCAAAAACTTCTAATGTCTTCAATGTCCAAACATTTAACATCTTATTTGGAGGAGAAATAGAATTTGAGAACAAATTCTCTTTAACATAGGAAGAATGATGCAGCTATGTTTGAGATAATAAGTGATTATGAGTAGTCAAATGGAGATATGCTATATTTAGATAAGGATCTATCTTAAAAAAATTATATAGATGGTCTAGAAGATATATTTATGGACCAGGGGAACAAGTCTAAGCCTAAGAGGAGGTTTGGTCACTCTAGACTAGAATAACAGCTGAAAAGACAATAATTTTTTATTCGGCTGTTAAATCTATCTCAAATGTTTATAGAAGTTTTGGAGGTTGTTTTTTGTATAATTGCCCTACGATGCTAGGCAAACCAATGCATCTTTAAATATTCAAAATCTTGCCCTTAGGCCCAATTTAGACCAATTATGTTATTTTCCTTGTTTTATTCGGATTTCATGCATTATTTTATATTTTATGATTATTTCCTTTGTATTTTTAAATGTTTATTTTGTTTTGTAGTTGAGGTAGAGTTTTTAACTTATTTAAGATTTTGTACACCTTTCGAGGATGGAAACTTTATCAGTATTATTTTTAGAGAAAATAAAGCTGGGAATTTGAAGTTCACATTGTAAGCACTTTTGCTCATTAAATTTATGTTATATATTTATTTATTATCTTTTAACTTAAAGGTGCTCAAAATACTGTAGGGGAAACCAAGTCTATACCTTTTTAAATGCTTCCTATGAAGTGAAGTGTTTTCTCTGGCTTAAGAACAACAATGGAGACTATTAAAAAATCAGTATTCATTCGCATTAATAAAAGGCATACCTAATTCTGAAACCGCAATCCTGACATAAAGGTCTTGTCCATCCCCATTTGACCTACTTGTATCAATGAGGCTACCAAACCAAATCAGGCAGCCACTTCCACCTCCTCTGATATCTAAATTTGCATATGCAGTGCAGGAGCAGTTCTTCAAACATATTCCCTTACATTCCCCGAGACCAGTGCTTTTATTATACCAGGAAGAAGATGTGTCAGGCAATTTCATCCGTGAATAATTTTGAAAGCGATCTTTGTCACTGCAAGGAGTCCTTCGAGCACACCCACCTGACCAATTTGATAACTTCCAATCGCGTGGAGACTTGGGCATGAATCCATCCAGGCATGCACATATAGGAGAATCATTGAACTGGCAGAAAGCATTCGGACCGCAAATAGAATACTGTGCACATATATCAAGCTGGGCAATTTCAACAAAGTCCCATTTATGTGTTCGATCATTCCATATTGAGCGCTGTGGAATACCCCATGGAGTTAGTTTAAGCCTCGGAAAACCTAAGCTTTTGCTCCCAAAAACGAAATATCCCTCCTTTTCGTTGAGCACAAAATCATCTGTTGAAATTGAATCAGGTTTCGGAATTATTTCGGCAGCAAAACGTAAGCCATTCCATGACCCAATTCTAACTTGTGTTTTATTCCCCTTCTTCAAGACAAGCTGCGGATACCCGTTAGGATCTAGAAGGAAAGAAAATTCACCTCGAGCAGGATCTTCTGAGCTCTTCCAGGATGACAGAAAGCTTTCAAGCCGAGTTACAAAGTTGATTCCCAGTTTCATTCCTGGCAGCAAGGTGTCACTAGGATAGTCAAAACTCTGCCACAGAAAGTTGGCAGGTTTGCTATCATTTTCTTCTCTTACAACAAGATTTCCTGACTCCAAGAGCTCTGCGACTGCATTCTCTGCAGTTCTTGACAAATTCGACGACCAAACAATATCGTTGGTGCTACTGTATATGATAAGTATCCCTTCGCTTGTGATATTCAGGACTCCCAAACTATTGGAAACGGAAATGACACAAGGATCTAACTTCTCTCCTGTTGTGATTCAAAAGACTCAAAGTCCAACACTGCAACACACATTTTTGTCATAAATGATGGTTGAAAGTTCTAGCGTTCAGTTTAACTAGATATGATTTATCATAAATATAAAATTTTAATTAAATTTAATATCTTAGGTAATTTAATGAAAGTTGCATTAAAATTATAATAACCGAATAATAAACCAAACAATAAAATTCATAGATTCAAGGACAAAGCATGCGATAATTACGGCAAAATAGGTAATCCAGTTCACTTAATTTTTTTTAAACTTATTATTTTTAATTTTATCATTTAATAATATATTTAATTAAAAATTATGTTTAATGATTTATTTCAATTTGATTTTTATGAGATTATCTTAACCTTATAACCTATAAATAGTATTTAATGAGTTAACCTTACTGATTTGGCTTATTTTTGTTTCATTTTTTTATAAAAATTTATATAAATTTCATCGTTCAACATCAAGTTTCAAAGGATTGACTGAGAATTAAATTTTATAATTTATTTTTATTTGCTCTTTATAAAGTTACCTTAGTCTTGTAACTAAAATCGTAAATTTCATAAGTAAATTTGCATTAAATCAAATAATTTGTTTTATTTTTTCTTGTAAGGTTATCTCAGTTTTATGATTCAGATAATTAGTTTAGCGGATTGATATGGGTTTATATTTTTTTAATTGATTTATTTTTAATTTTATCCTTCAACATTGATATGGTTGGGAATTAAACTTTGTAATTTATTTTATTTTTTTTCTATAGTGTTATCTTAATTTTATAATCAGTTGTGAGTTTAATAGGTTAACTTGGATTATTTTTTTAGGTTTTTTTTTTAATTAAGTTTTTTTTCAATTTCATCATTTAACATTATTGATTGAAAATTAAACTTTATAAAATTTATTATTTATTTTATATGAGATTATCATAGTCTCATAACTCTGGTCATGAATTTGACATATTAATCCAGGTTGACTTAATTTATTCTAATATATTATTATTTTAATATTAAAAAAATATCATTTTAAATTTTTTTAATCAAATTATGTTTTTACAAGTCATTTATATTGTTTTTGTACTTACAAAATCAAGTAGGCCAAATCAAATTAACCCCAACTTGATTTAATTTTTTTTCTATAAAAAAACATTAACAATATTTAAATATTTTATTTTGTTAAAAAAAAAATAACCCCACCCGCGGGTTAAAAATCTAGTTAGGCCTTAGCATGATTAAATTGCTGCTGCGCCCTTAGTCCTCCTGCAACCGCTGCTCCCTTGAAAGCAACTGCGTCGCCCAAAATCGTCTAGCTTTTATTGTTTTGTTTTACGTATCTATAAAGCCAGGTCAGATGAAAGCTATATTAAGAAAAACCCAAACCACAAGTCTGGCTTTTCAAGATATTGTGTTTTCGCGAATCAAGAGAAAGAATTGGGAAAATTTTGTTCTTCTTGTACTAAAATTCCTCTATTTTCTCTTAATTTAATTATGGGAAGAGTGTAAGTTATATGAAATCCTAGAAAAAAACTATATAAAAAAAACAAAATAAAACTTGTAGGATTAGTCGTGATGTATGCAAATTGATCCAAACACTTACATTAATAAAAAAAACAAAGCAGAGAATTTTGTGTGTGTAAGAGATAGAAAGAGAGCGAGAGAGAAAGATTTGGGAGTTGGGAGATATAGATAGAAGTTGATCAAATTAGAAGAAAAGGGAGAAATCTTTAGAATTGAATTTAAAAGTCTTCCTTGATTGGATGAACTAGTTGTGAGAAGAGGTTGCCTTTCATTTAAATTCATTTTTATTCTTGATTAATATTGGTGAGGAATTGAAAATCCTCAAATTATAAAATTTGAGGTTTATGTATTCTGTGAATGAAATTATAAAATGATGTTAATTATTAGTTAATTGTTGGTTGAATTACATGATTAAGAAACTAATTGAAGAAATTAGAAACCATATTAGAGGAAATTGAGATTTTAAATCCATCCATTATACCATAATAGGAATACTAAAGGTTAATTATTGTTGTCATGTATGCAAATGAAGAAAATGTAGAAATTGGATTGGATTGCATTGATTTTTGATGTTTTGGTGATGTTGTAAATGTTTGAGATTTGTTGAAATATTACAATGTGAAATGATATGGTCGATTTTTGGTGATGTAATTTAAATGGAGAAAATGAAAATACTGACGTAAAAATGCATGAATCCCATCCAAATGCGTGGTGGGGCATAATGCATCTCTGTACTTTACAGTCTAATTTTCACAAAAGGTGGGATGATTGATGGCCCCACATCATAAATATTCTGTCCTTTTTCATTTAATTGGAAAGGCTCCATATCATAAATAGCAATAGTATAACAATAATAATAATAATAAAATTAATATAAAATCATAATGTATTGGTAGATGAATGTAGGTTCATGGTTCTATCCTTTACAAGTCATGCTATTATGAATGTAAAATCATAATGTGTTGTATTTTAAATGATATTATTATCCTTAAATGTTATTGGTAAGATAAATGAGTGGTGTTTACCATGGATATGATTCATGTGAAGCAAATATTTAGAATCTTGGGTTATGTTTGAAAATGTGAAAGCATAAGAATTGGTAGATTGTGTAAATGTTGAGGGTTATTAATGATATTGTGATGTTAGGTGCTTTAGTTGATAAGTGGTAAAAAGAAAAAGAAAAAACATTTAGGTTAGATGCATAGTAGGAACGTGAAATTATATCCTAAAAGCAAATTAAAATCATGGAAAAAGGTGATATTGTACTGACATATAATAGAAATGGCTTAAAATAATTTTAGGTTTTAATTGGGGTGTTTTCTTAGAAAATCATATTATTTTGGGGTTGTTACTGTAATGTAATTTTTGTTTAATTGTTTTGGAGTTGTATTTTGCATTGTGGATAAAAAGACAAAAAAAAAGATGAAAAAGAAAAGAAAAGAAGAGGCCGAAGCAGATTTTAAAAACAAATGAAAAATCAAAATTAATTGTCTGGGTTGTTTTTGTTTGTTTTGTAGGTCACCGTCGGCGAAGGAAGAAAGGGAAGAAGAAAACGTTCCAATTCACTGTTTTTTTCTCTTCATCGGCAACTGCTCACGAACACTGTTCATACCGCCCAGAAGGACTTCCCAGCACTGTTATAGAGTTTTGAGAGGTTATTTTGTAATTTTCAAACTGTTTAATATAATATTTGTTTAGTTTGAATTTTTATTTGTATTTTGTAAATATGAAAAAAATACAAAAAGAAAAGAAAAAAATATATAAGGAAAGTGCATGTGTGTGCTTGTATTTATCTTATGAATGTTTCTTTTTTATGATAAAATTGTAGAGAATAAATAAGGATTTACTATTTTGATTGGATCACGGTGTAGAAGTACAAACTTGAACAGAAGTTGTATTTCTAAAATCTGATGAGAAGACAAAATTTTTAAAATTTCTTTAACACATCAAGTCCATGAAGCAGCTTACCTCAGGTAGGGTGCGTTAGGAGTGCTAATACCTTCCCTAACCACAACCGGTCCCTTACCCGCGAATCTCTGACAAGACCAATACAACCAGGTTTCCTAGTAACCTTCAATTAAATACTAGGTGGCGACTCCTAACGAATCTAACAGGATCAAATCAAATATAACAGAGAAAAATTGCTGGAGCCGGCGCCGTGCGGATGATTTTTTTTTACTTGCGACATTCATAGAGTGCCATTGAGATTGCAAAGATATATAGTTTAAGAATTGTGAAAGAAATAAACAGTGACATTTTCTCATTTCACGCAAAGTTAGTTAGAATCGATAAACTTTGGTATTGTCCAGTATAATGATTTGAACTTGTAAAGGACCATGATTTATGAGTCCATAATTGCCGAATCTATTACAAGTCAATATGCATACCATTAAAAATTAGCTCGGTGATACATGGTTTAATTTTGTATGTAAGTTAAAAAAAAATTGGTCATCTTATGCCATTTTAACAAAAGTCAAATTATTTTTGCAATCAAAACTTTTTAAATTTTTCAAGGTTGGGTAGCCTTAACTTTGTATATTGGAGTTTGATTAAAATATTTTGTCAACATACCATTTGAAAGAAGCATGTCTTTATTTCAAGGCAATCATAAGAAAAATAACACTACTAGAAATTCATCTAAAACCAACGGAATTACTAACAGAATTTTTCAATCGGTAATTTGTGGTGATATTTACTGACGAATGTAATTTTATTTGTAATTTTGTTGGTAGATACCAACAGACTAATTCCATTTGGAATTTTATCGATATATACCGACAGAATAATGTTGTTAGTATACATCAATAAAATTCTAGATAATTTTTTTTAAAAAAACAGTGTGATGACATGGAAGTTGTTAAGGGTGATTTTACCGATGAAATTGTAGAGGGATTCAAACCAGGATCTTCGTACAATAACGTGACCTATTTATCAATAGAAGTGCCGATGAATCACTGATAGAATAGTTTTATTAGTGATTCTATTGGTAAAAGTTAATATATCACCCATGCTGCCTCCCCTACCTTCCCTTATTTCTCCTTCTTCTTCCTCATCCCTACATCTAAACAAACTCTCCCCTCCCAAACTGCAAATAACAACTTTATTGTGGATTTTGTTATCTTTTATAAGTAAATCTATCTTTTTTAATTTTAACATTAAAATTTTAATTTGGTTTATTTAATGGTTTTTTTAGTATCTGTATTTTGTTAGTGTATGTACATGTTTTATTGTTATTTCTAAAAAAAACTTGTATTATGAATATATAATTGTATACTTGTTATTGGTTTGTTCTAGATTTTGTAAAATTATATTTGTTTGTAAATTGTTGAAACTTATATCAAATTACTAGATTAGATGTGTTGTGATGAAATAAATAATAGATTGTTTAACGGATCTGTTTTAATTTTTATCAATGTTATTGCGAGGTTGTAATTTTTATAAATTTATGTGTATAAATTTGTATGGATGTTGATAATTGATAATGAATATTTAAGAGAAATTTTAATTAGTTTGTTGGATAATCTAGAGTTAAACCAATATTTTTGAAAATTTATTTACTTAATATAGTTAATTAATGTATGTTGTTATTGTTATTTTATAGAGGTTCGATAAAAGTCATGAATGATCATGCATAGATTTATTGAGATTTGCTACAAGGATTGTGGATGATGAATTATTGTAATGGGATTCAAGGTTTTAATAATTTTGCAACGTCTATTCCAAGAAATTTAAGTAGATGCGATATTAAGTGTTTATACAAGAAGTGTAAAATAAAGCACTATACATTAAAAATACATGATGGAGTCATGATACATGGAAAACATAGTTAATTAATACATGTTGTCATTGTTATTTTATAAATGGTTCACTAGAAGTCATGGATGATCGTGCATGAATGTATTAAGATTCACCACAGATATTATAGAGGATGGATTCTTGTAATAGGATTCAGAGTTTTATTAATTTTACAATGTCTATTCTAAGAAATTTTATTGGATGCGATATTAGGTGTTTATCTAGGAAGTGTAAAAATAAAACAAAATATATTAAAAATATATAATGGAATCATGATACATGGAAAACATGTTAAAGAAACATACAATGCTCATTCTCTAACTAACTTTATATTATCTAGGCTTTGATATCATTTTACAAGTTACTTGTCATTGCTAAATATAGGGATGGGGTGATGGTGTGGTAGATACTACCATTCTTCATAAATTCAATATGTCCTTACTCATCAACTTCCGGATATGATAATTTAAATCTTTATAATTTTCAATCAAATGGTCTGGGACCCCATCATGATATTCACATCTTGCATCTAGATTATACCACCTAGGAAACAATGATTGTATGAGATTTGATGGAGTCAGGGCAACAAGTCCGAAATTTGATATATATTGGTAGACAAACTCAAGTGGCAAATGTATGTTAATCTTCGACAAAAACGCTTAAGTAGTTGATGCTACAATGAGACTTGGCTAGACCACATAACTAATATTTTTCACTTGAAAGCCATCTTCTAATTCATCTCTCATCATTATTCCAGAATCCATGATAAAACCTCTAATTTTTTATTTTTATTTTGATAGCTTGTTCAATTCTTTCGACAATCCTCACAACAACACATAACTGTTAAGTTAAGTTTCCTATTATATGCTTATAATATAGGGATTTGAAGATGTTGGTCAACAATATCATCATTTTTATTTCTATTAATAGAGGTTGGAAATGTATTGGCTTATCTTGCCATCATGTGCATATGCTTTCATAGACTCTTGGTTTCCCTTCTCCTTGGTCGTTAGACTAGTTTTGTTTGGAGTAGTTTCCAAATTGATTTTATACTACTTTAAGAAGGCATCTTTCAAATCCTTTCATTTATTAATCTAGGTACTATGTAGTCTTATATATCAACTCAAGGCTAATCTTACGAGACTATTCTGAAAGAAATAAATTAGCATTTTATCATTATGAATAACTTCATCCATCTTGTTGCAGTGTGATCGAAGATAAGTGTTTGGGTATTCTATTCAGGTATATTTAATGAAATCTGGTACTCTAAACTCTTTTGGTACCATGATATTTTAAACCAAACAAACTCCAACTGCTAATATAGGGTCAGTTAGATCATTTCAAAAGAGGTTATCATTGAATTAAAATGAAATAAGGATATGAATGAAAGACAACGTTTAAAATTAAATATGAATTGTATGACTAGTTAGTAATGTCTTTGGTTTGACTAATGTCCTTAGTACATTCAGAAGGTTAATGAATCATGTGTTGAGATTTTTCATTGAAAAATTTGTTATTGTCTATTTTGATGATATCTTATTTTATAGCAAAAGATTAGATAAGCAATCATTTAAGACAAGTTCTTGAAATAATCAAACTTGTAATTGATATTATTCAAAGTTTTAACATGCATACTAGTAGCAAAAAATATCCATGTTTAAATTAATATAAAAGAGGATACTTGTTAAAATACTTTAAGGTAATAAATTTTTTGTCGTTTTCAAGAATGAATCATTTGTTTTTAAAGTTTTATTAGTTGTCACTTATACAATTAGCATGTTTGCAACATGTTTTTCAAGATTCCAACATCATCATCTTTACTTTAGATGTATTTCTAAACAAGATATTTGAATCAAAAAATATAAAACTTAAATATCTCTCAATCAAATAAATCTAAGGTCTAGATTTATAGGAAAACAAAAGCTTAAAGTGAGAAAAAAAATATTAAAATGTGAAGTGAAGAAGATTATGTAAAAACCTAAAAAATTCAGGTTGAAAACTATTCTTTCATTTCTTTTTATAATAAATTTTAAAAATTAAAAAATTAAACAATTAATAAAAATTAATTCTCACTATTATAAATATTTGATTAGCTATTATAAATAAAAAATTAAATCTAGAAAAACAAGGGTTATTTAAGTCGTCAAACCAAGAGTTTTTTAAAATTAATTTATTATCCAGCTCTAATTTATTTAAATCATATTAATTAAACAAATTTTCACAATATCTTATGTGCTATAGTACAGGACAAGTATCCCTTCGCTGCTAATATCCAGAGCCCCAAAAGTATTGGATAGAGGAACTTCTCTATTTGCTACCCATATAACTGTACGAGGACACTCTTTATGCCATATTCCCATGTGACGGTTTTTTGAACTTCCACGGCTGAAAAATCCTAGTTCAAAGCCTCCTCCGGTTGAAAGTAGTGCTGCACCATCTCTTATGGATTGGCTTGGGTAGATTATGTTTGATATGGTGGAGTTATTTAAGGTAAAGAATAAGAAAGATCATGCAAACAGCACAGAAAAAGTTCCCATTCAAGAGAGTTTTCATAGATGTTCACGTTTGATCACACAGAAAGATGTTTTGTTATTAGAACAAGTTACTAGTCAAATGGGAAGAGATTTTTCAGGAAATGACATGAGAAATGTTTTTCTTCCTTACATTGGCCACCTTTTTTTCAGTAACCATAAGATCCATCTTTTGAAGACAGAAAAGTCCAATTTCAAGAAGTTTCAATAGTTTCGCATCAAAGACATCCACAATGAGCATGACAAAGCTTCAGCTTAGTATATATACACAGTTAGACCAGTTGATGCACTTGATTGTTGAGGTTGAAACGGAGGCATCATCCAAAACTATTTATTTATGGCATTAGAGATTGTTAAGCTTTTTTCAAATGACCTGTGAACTTATCATGAATCAAAGCTATCTTAGAGATTTTTCAGGAAATGACATGAGAAATGTTTTTCTTCCTTACATTGGCCACCTTTTTTTCAGTAACCATAAGATCCATCTTTTGAAGACAGAAAAGTCCAATTTCAAGAAGTTTCAATAGTTTCGCATCAAAGACATCCACAATGAGCATGAGAAAGCTTCAGCTTAGTATATATACACCGTTAGACCAGTTGATGCACTTGATTGTAGTGTATGATAACTTAATAAAGATTGACTAGACTGTTTCTATAAAATTGCAAAACACAAACGGTAACTCAACGGTATGTGTCGTCTGACAAAATATAGAGGAAGGTGCTCAATGTTGAGAATGGATGAAGAGGAAATAATAAATAAACAATTAATACCATGAGGCTAATTATTATCAAAAATTCAGGTAGCACAAGTCACAACGAAGGGAAAAGAGGAACAAAATGACAAAAGTCTACCATGAAAATGAAGCTTACACAAACCAGGAAGTTATCATGTCTGATCCATTGCAAGCAAGAGTGGCCAGCTTGACTGGTATTGATAAACTGATCATTCTCTTAAGATATATATAGCTCTACGATGCCATTTTGGAATGGTAGAACCGGTAGAAAACAAGATTGGATATCAGCAAATAGAATTTCTGAAACCATGAAATCTTATTGATTGACTTAGTCTTATCTCTCTCTTTTACTTGAATTTTCAAGTGACGAGTTACCGTGCCTCTAATGATGTCAAACTAGCTTCATTTGCTGAGTAAACATTGTTCCGGCTAGATGAGGTATCCTGCTCAAGTGGGTTTCTTCCGATGAAAAATCCAGGCTGTTTAGGCTGAGGCAATGGATTCTCCTTGCCTAATATTTGAACAATAGTCGGCATGTTTGGCCTGTCTTCGGGTCGTTGTTGCACACATAATAAAGCCACATGAATGCATCTTAGCACTTCAGACACATTGCTAGAGTTGGCCAAGCATTCATCGATCAATTCCAAGGGTGTCCCTTTAATCCAAAGTATCCATGCCTAAGGAAAAGAAAAAAAGCAGTATCTTTTATTAACTGCAGAAGCATCCTTGATGTAACTAAGGTACCATGGCATGCCTTTTGACGAGTCTGAAAGAAACTGAGCAGTATAATATCACCTCTCGGTTAATAAAGAATATATATTTACATGTATCAGTGGAAGCTTACATGCCCAAGAAGGTTGAGGTTCTGGTCCGGGTGACGAAATCCCCGGTTTTTGTTTCCACTCACTATCTCCAGGACTAGGACACCAAAGCTAAAGACATCGGTTTTCACAGAAAGGTGTCCATTTGATGCATACTCAGGAGACATGTAGCCACTGAAGAACATTAATAATAATAAAAAACAGAAATCTTAGAACACAAAGGAAAATCTTCAAGGCTAGATTATGGACACTTACTATGTTCCAACCACCCTATGAGTATTGGCCTCCGTTTGATCTCCACGAAACATTCTAGCCAGGCCAAAGTCTGAAATTTTTGGGTTTAGCTCATTATCTAGTAAAATGTTGCTGGCTTTGATATCTCTATGGATTATTCTCAGCCTGGAGTCTTGGTGGAGATAAAGAAGCCCTCGAGCAATTCCAACAATAATGTTCATGCACTTGCTCCAATCCATTAATTTTCTTCTTGTCTGGTCTGATCAATTTCTATCCATGTTAGTCAAATAACTTCAATTCTTACAGAAATAAAAATATAGATGATAACAGATCAAAAACAAAGTGCTGTTGATTCAGCCATGTGCTCACCAAAAATAAAGAAGTCCAAACTTTTGTTAGGCATGTATACATATATTAACATTTTTTCATCTTCATGGATGCATCACCCAATAAGCTTTACGAGATTGCGGTGTTGAAGTTTAGCTATTAATATAACTTCATTTTTTAACTCGTTCAATCCTTGACCAGAACTCTTCGAAAGTCTTTTCACTGCTATTTCTTGTCCTTCTGCCAATATTCCCTAAGTTATCATCAACATTCTTCAGTTAGTTTCATGTTAGATGATGGTTTGAACAGGTAGGTGACTTTTTTTTACCTTATATACTGGTCCAAAACCACCTTCTCCCAGCTTGTTTCTGCTTGAAAAATTACCAGTGGCATTTGCAACGGCGCTCAAATAAAATATCGGTAACTCCATGTCTTCTTTCCTTACATCCTTGAAGTTATCATTCATTCTAAATTTCTTCCTCCGTATGCAAAAGATCATTCCCAACATTAGCATGCCCATGCCAAATACAACGGTGCTGGCAATTATCCCTGCTTTCTTCTTCCCATTGTTGTTCCCTTTTTCCACGGCTACTCCTGAATACATACAAGTATATTTAGAAGACCCCAAACATATTCCCTAGTTCAAGACTTGCATCTTAAATAAAAGTTGAATTAAAGTTAATTTTAAAGGGGAACAAAAGAAGAAAAAGAAACCGGAAATTGAAACTTGGGGAAAATAAAGTTGAAGTGGTGGACTAAGAAAGCAGACTCAAGACTTTTCTACACAGGTAGTTAATTACTATGCTAATGTTTTCCAGGCTTTTGAAGTCTGAACCCAAGAGAGATTCTTCTTCAATTTTACATGGTCTACCTACATATTAAAGATGGGAAAGAATTAAATCAATAATTAATTGTTTAATTGGAGACATGCCTGATTCTGAACCAGCCAACCTAACATAGAGAACCTGTCCATCCGCATGTGACCTTTTTATATCAATCAGGTCATGAGACCAAATCAGGCAGCCACTTCCACCTCCCGTGATATCTGAATTTGCATAAGCTGTGCAGAAGCAGTTCTTCAAACATATTACCTCACATTCCTTGAGATTGATGCGCTCGTCAAACCAGGAAGATGTTACTGGAAGTTTACTAACTGTATATTTCGTAAAGACATCTTTATCGCTGCAATTCAATGGAGTTTTCCGGATACACCCGTCTGACCAATCACTCAAATTCCAACTTTCTGGAGACTTGGGCACGAATCCATCCAGGCATCTACACGGAGGAGATGCATTTATATCACAGCTAGCATATGTACCACAAAGTGCATAATTTTCACACGAATCGGACTGAAACAAATAAGAAACCACCCAAGAATGTGTTCGATCATTCCATTTGTAGGCGCTTGCAAGGCCCGATGGACTAAGTTTAAACCTTGAAAAACCTGAACTTTGGATGCCAAAAGAGACCTCATTGTTATTGAGCACAAAATAAGTGGAATTTTGACCGAACGTAATATTTGGAGTAGGGGGGGGTGCATCGGTTCTTAATAGTGTTGAATTCCCCATCTTCAAAAGTAGCTGCGGATGCCCATTATTAGGATCTACAAGAAAAGTAATTTTTCCTCGAGCAGGGTCTTCGTCACTCTTCCAAGATGACAGAAATCTGTCCAGCCGAGTTACCAAGTTGAATCCCAATTTCATTCCCGGAAGTAATGTGTCACAAGGATAATCAAAACTCTGCCATAAGAAGTTATCAGGGTTATTATCATTTCCTTCTCTTACAACCAGATTACCTGACTCCAGGAGCTCTGCAACTGGATCTTCTGCAGTTCTTGATGGGTTTGACAACCAAACAATATCGTTTGTGCTACTGTATATGATAAGTACTCCTTGACTGGAGATATTCAGGGCCCCCAATTTATTTGGAAGAGGAACTTCTCTGTTTGCTACCCACACAACCGTCTGCGGAGACCTCACATACCATATTCCCAAATATCGGTTGTTTGAACTTCCAGGGCTGAAAAATCCCAGTTCAAAGCTTCCGCCAGCTGAAACTAGAGTCTCACCATCTATTATGGAGTTGCTTCGGTTAATAATAACTGGTGTGCTGCAGGTGGTTAAGATGAAGAACAAGAAAGCACGCAAAAAACTCCGAAAATCTTCCCATTGAAGTGTTTTCACGTTTGTTCACGCAGACGAATATTTTGCTACTAGACAATTTACTGCTCAAATGGGAGGACTCTTTCCAGGAAATGATATCGGTCTTTTTCTTCCTTTTGAACAGTAAATTAGTAGCCACACATTTTGATTTTGATGTAGACTAGCGTGCTGGAAAACAAATCACAAATATGCTAATATGGACAGAAGTTGTTCTTGCAAAAATTCTAAGTCAAGACAGGATGGATGTCAACTGCAATGGCTCAAGGATCCTAACAATGAAAACTTTGGTAGCTGTTATTACTCTCGTTATCCTTCACTATTGGCTTTATTCCAACTGGGAAGCTTTTGTTGGCTCGACCGATAGGCTCTGTAAAAATTGATCTCGGCTTCGTTAATTTCTTGAAATGATCTCTACCGTTGATCTTGGCTGGAATGGGAAAAACCAAAGGAGGGAGGAGAAAACTGAGGAATGGATGGATTTCTTAATTTAAAATTGGGCTAGGTCCCTTAGCTGTTGGTTCGCAAATGCTTGGTCGTGAGGCACATTGCTC